CTTCCCCCGTCAAAATAAAAGTTTAGTTTAACGTTAAGAAACTGTCAGAATATATTACTATTTAGCAGTCTTAATACTCAATGCTACTACTGCTAATAAATATGAATACATCTTTATTTTTAAAGGAATAATCACATCTGTTTTCTTTTTAATTTTAACAGTAAACCTCTGTTGTGCAGCACTTTGTTTGCCAAAAAATAAAAGGGTTTAATTTTTATTTGATTAGGATAAATTAAATTAATGTTTTATGCCGTCATCTGATTACCAGAAAAATTTAGATTTTGAAATGAAGATAATTTTTGTTTAAAAAAGCACCCTATACAAAAAAAAGAATAGGTTTAAAATACAGTAAGCGCCAGATTGTCATAGCAAAGTCGGAATTGACCCTTTTTTTTGCACAGCCAGCCCTGTACTCTTCTAGGTTCAAAGGTCGTCCATATAATGTGTTGCACAAATTCGAACATCTGGGTTGTAATGTATTTTTGGCTATTGCTACAAATATACCCCAGCGACTTAAGACTGGTTTTGTGGTTCAGGGTCACATATAACAAATACTTACATGCATGCACAGTTTTGAGGCAGGTTTAATTACCTTTTTGGTAACTTCATGACTTAACTGACAACATAACTATGACATTCCATTCTTGTAGTTTCTTTTGCGCTTTAACAGGAAATAATATAGACTTCAGTGCACGCCACAGCATTTGTGCATGCAGTTGAAGAGCATGTGCTGCGAGCACAATATAATGGCTTGACAGGACAGGAAAATTAGTTTTTACTGATATATGGCCTGACAACATCTCATCTGACCGCAGTTCACTGTTGTTCTACTGAAGTCACCTGTACCTTTTCCGTGCTCGTTTGACTAGCGCTTGGCGCTGAGGCAAAGTTGGAGTGCGCCTCTGAAAAGTCTCCCGTTTGATGTGGCCGTAAAGACGTTCTACGTCTAAATAAATGCAATTCTTGTCAAGAAAACAGAGACCGAAGCAGCAGTTGTGAGTGGGGTGGCCAAACCTAGCTCCACACCTGTGTTAATTGCGTTAAATATTTTTATGCGTTAAACTGAAAAAATGAATGCGTTAATTTTGACAGCACTACTGTAAAAACAAACAAACAAGCAAATACTGTGTTGTGTAATTGTAATTGCATAATCCTGTTTGAGACTACTGTTCTTACTTAATATACTGTACAACCTCTCTGTCTCTCTCTTTCTCTCAGATGCCGAAGGGTTCTGATGACTCCTGGGCTCAGAAACTGTATAACACTCATTTGAAGACGTGTGCACTTTTTGAAAAACCACGGATGTCCAATAAAGCTTTCATTATTCAGCACTTTGCAGATAAGGTACACACACACATACACAGCTCACACTCAGGCTGGTTCAGCATTTCTGATCAACTGTGATATACACAGTGCGTGTCATTTCATATACCAGTGTCTAAACAGAGACGAATTGTATTTCCGTTCTCTAAAACCTAATGAGCTGCCTCATACATACTGCATCTAAACAGTGCATAATCATTTCAACATATTAACAGATTGACAGCATTCACACTGCTTGCATAAGCCATGTGTCACTGTGTTCCAGTGCTGACACGCTGAACTCAGCAGGAAACATTGACAATGCACTTTAAACCTATTTATCAACACACTCTTTTTTGTAATATAGACTTTTATAAAGCATTATACGATTATGGAGCAATTTACTCATGTGTTGTCAAGATTCATGCACAGTAACAGGCAGACAAATGCTTCCTGTTCAGTAAATCTGACTGAATCCATGCGATTTATGCAGTTTACCTGGAGATTAATTACCATTTGGATGTACATGTTATCCACTTCATATAAAATAGATCACAATATTTAATTTTGTAAAAACTGCAAAAGCTTTGTCAGATGGGCCACAGATGTATTATATGTGAAACAGACCTAGCATTTTAAGACATTGTAAAGACACTTCTGTCATAAAGGATGTTCTAAACAATAAATACTATTAATAGATATGAAATAGTTCTAAGAAACATATTAGAGTATCATTTTGTTAGCTTAGCAACATGCTAGCACAAGTCGAGTCTCCTGTGTGTGCTATTTGTATGACACAGAGTTGCTGCATAAGTTCTCACATGAGCTCATGACGGCTACAGATCTGTTTTTAGAAACGGTGTTCAATATCTATGAGGAAGCACTCATGGAGAAGGGGGTGGGGTAATAAGACACATTTAGAGTGTGTGATGGACATTCAGTAAACACACATAGTTGAATCAGGGTTTGAGCATTAGTAGGTGCTTTCTCAAACATTCTCGGGGTTAAATCAGGCACCACTTTAGTCTGTAATCAGCATTGCTAATATAAATGCAACTCTAAATCATATAAATTTAATAGGTTACATAATATAACATGCCATTTATGCCCAGTGGAAAATGGAGGTTAATGGAGCTCTTAGTTATGATTTATTTAAGTACAATAACTAATTGATCTCAGATGTTTCTTCTGAAATAAAAATGAGACAGGTTACAAAAGTAAAATGAATGAATGAATATATAATCTTGGTAACACTTTACAATAAAATTCAATTGGTTAAGATTAGTTTATCAGGTACAATATCATGAATTTTCAATGAACATTTTTTGCAGCAAGAGATGATCTTTTTTTACATATAATGGCATATGTTTAAAATATATAATGATGTGCACAAATTAATCATTTATAAATACACTACAATATTCCATTAAAAATAAGAATATTGTGGTGATTTAATAATGTTAATGTTTAATTCATGATTATACTTGAAATGTAAAATTGTATTAATGTATGTAGAAGTTAACATTAACCTAGGTTAACAAATGGTGTAAACTGCAGTCAGATTTTTTTTTTTATTTCATGTCAGCTATTGTGTTGACTAACTAAATGGTATCTCAAAAATACTAAAATAACAATATGTATAAAACCTTATTGTAAAGTTTTACTAAAACTTTATAATATAAAGACTTGAGAAGAATGGAGAAGGTTATTTTTTTATTTTGTATTTTTTGCTTTCCATGTAATTTCACTGCTGACTTGGGGGAAAAATACTATACGGATGCTTGTTCGTGGACTTTCTTTCTTATAGGATAACCTCACGTGTCTGTCTGTGTCTGTCAGGTGGAGTATCAGTGTGATGGTTTTCTGGAGAAGAATAAGGACACAGTGAATGAGGAGCAGATACATGTTCTGAAGGCCAGTAAGGTGAGTGAATATCTGTCAGTCTGATGTCACCATTGGTTCATTTTCACAGAAAGATAATGCCCTCAACACCTTGAATAAGGCAGGCTAAACTGGCACAAAACAAAACTAGAAGGTACAAAACTTAGACCATTCCCATTATACTTGATGATGCTGTGTGCACTGGAAGTGGCCAATGCAGTGCAATTTAGTTGAGTGGTATCCTGTTACTACTGTATGTTTTTCGCATTGTGTAGCTACTGCAGCCACTACTTCTTTTTATTACAAATATAATGTGTAAACTGAATCTATAAGCTTATGAACAAGGGCTGCAATGATAAGGTGGAAAATTCACAGGAAGGGTCCAATTGTCTTTGTAATGTAACCGTTTATAAACCCTGACATCGGGAGGTTTTAGTGAAGTATTGCCTTTATAGTGAGACAAAACCAACCTACAGTGTTAGCTGTAGCCAGGGTGTTTTCATCCAAGATTTTTGTCCTTAAATGAGGCTTAAAGTCTGAGAAGGTCAATGGAAGGGAGCCATCTGCTGGTCAAGGAGCATTTAGTGCAGTCCATTGCCACAGTTACAACATATGTACACAGCTGAGCTCAGGGATTCATATTTGTTCGTATTTCTAGTTGTTTGGATTCGTACATATCCTTGTCTTAGTTCACTACAATCTTGAGTCGCAGTATCTACAGCTCAGATCTGTTTTGAAGCTCTAACACAGAGCATTAGCATGACTCAGCAGCTCTGACTGCTTTTTAATGAGGCAGGTTCAGACAGAACGCCACTGCATACCTGCTCCTGTTATGAAGTCAATTCTCATTCTGTCAGCTGTGCCTTCAGGGTTATGGGTGTGTTCTGTTGATTTTTTCAGGAAAGTATTCAAACATATTTGGTAATCGAGACATAGGCAAGGGAGGAAGACATACGCTGAATGAAAGCCTCCATAGAGCAGAGTTTCCCAACCTTTAACAACTTAAGGCCCACATAATGTGTTGCATTGAAGATATCAAATCGTAGTTCCATAGCATTTTGATAGAAACCATGGTACTAAATAATTTCAGTATTTATTTGCCATGGTATTTACTTGGTACTCCAAGGTATATGCAAGAATACCATTGTGCTACGTTTTTTGTTAGTGAATAGGTCACAATAGCTTCTGTGATTTTATTGAACTGACTGAAAAAAAAATGCAGGGGTTTCCACAGTCAAAAAAATAAGGAAATATTGTTTTCTAGTTCGATTTTCTAGTTAAATCTATAGATTTTTCTAGGTATGCTTAGCTCAGACATATTTTAAAATGAAATATCTGAAAAATGGCTTTAAAAATAAATAAAGTAAAATAAAAATTAAACCTCTAGTAATAATAAAAATAGTCCATAAATAAATACAAAGACATGGAAATTAATTAACTGAACTTATCAGGATGGATAATTTAATATTTACTGTAATACTTACATTCACTAAAATGATTCAGAAAATGTAAGTGAACTTGTGCATTTTGGTTCTTATTAAAATCATTTTCTTCTGTATTTGGGGGTTTCTGAATGCTCTCTAATGTTTTGTCTCCTCAGCGTGAGGCAGTAAATGTGTGTGGTAAGAGCAAACACATGCTGTACTAATCCAAACTGCCTGGGAATAATAATAATGCCTCAAACTGAGTCAAGTCAAGAATTATTTAAAAAGATATTAACCATTAATACCAGTAATAGGCCTTATGCAGATCAGTCTGTTAGTGGTTAATCCAAATCCTTCACTTCACTTGTTCCACAGGTCAGCTGGTTTTACCATATTCATTTAGCTTCACATTCATATCATTGATCATTACATCTATTCATATCATCATGTGTGTGTTTGCTTGCCATCTATCATGTGCACATTTATATGTTCTTATGAATTAGAAGTAAAGCCAGACACCAGCTAAAAATCTTTACAAATTCTGAAGCTTTTCTATGTTTCTTCATCATTCATTGTGTCTTTATCATTTCAGTTAATTTATTCATCAAGACGAAATTTGACATTAGCCTGACAAAATCTGGAAAAGTTCTGTTTTCTCAAGTGAGTCCAAGCCTAATAGAATAACATTCTTTCTTACATGGATCACGAAAGGGGACATTTAGAATAATATTCTGCATTTGTTTCTATATAGTTACAATGAATAAGACTAGAGCTTTTCAAGCTTCACTCTAAGGCTTTGTCCACATAAATTCAGATACATTTGAAAACACTTTTGGCCTTTCACCCGCACTGACATGGCATTTTTGTCCAGCAAAAACTGACCTTTATTAAGATGCTCCCCAAGTGGATATATTTGAAAACACGGTTTTCACATTGGACTGTGAAAACAGAGTTATATGAAAACAATGACACATGTTTAGTCATGTAACCCATATATATCTATGGTTGTAATGGCATTGTGCCTGCTGTTAACTTAAAAAAGGTCATATGATGCTTTTTTTAATGTTTTCCTTTTCTTTTAGTGTGTAATGTATCTCTTTGTGCATATATAAGATCTGCAGAGTTATAAAGCTCTTAGTCTCCCAGAAAAGGGATCTATTCTAACAGAGAACACTTCTGCCTAAAATGCATTGTTCACAATCCAGATCCTACTTCTGCAAATGTCTACGTCACAGTTTGACATATTAGTGTAATGCCCACTCAAAGGCATAGGCAAAGAAAGAAGATGAGGCTTCAGTGTATTGTAGGATAGTAGTGTGATCGATTGATTTGCTTGATCATCTGTATTTTCAGTTACATTTCTAACACACGCTTGAGGTGTTTGGCCAATCACAACACACTGGGTCAGCTGACCAATCAGAGCACCCTGGGCTTTTTGGAATGAGGGGCTTTGTAGAAACCGAAATAAATGACGGCGTTTTTTTGTTTAATGTTTTTTTGAACATTAAAGCATGTCAACCCATTCTAGTAAACTGAATAAACAAAATAATGACCTTTTAAAATTGCATCATACCTCTTTAATAGTGTTGCTTAAGATAAATGTCACTTTGTACAGCCTTCGTATAACATTCCTGCAAAGATGATGGATATTTATGCACAATTGCTGGCTGCTGCAAAAGAGGATGACAGTTGTGTTTTAGAACATGCATGGAATGTTGATTTTGAGTACGACCAGTGAGTGGTGGGATATTTTGCAAATAAAATGGTCATGCAGAACCAGAAAAATAGTCTGTTTTGTTAGTATCATCTCAGTGAACTGTTATCATGTTTTGTGAGCGGTTTAAAAGAAATATGCCATTTTTAAATATATTTGGATTAATGTGGACTCAGGTTAGGAATTTGGAAAACAAGCTAAATCTACTTTATCCAATAACATCCAACATAAAAATATGGTTCAGAGCTGGTGTCTGAGCTGCTTTGCTCTTCAGCTAGTACATTATATACATCTGTCTGATGTATCTGTATTTTCTGCATTTGTTAATTCTGTTTCAATTTCCTCATCATCGTGCCATGTTTTATACGTGTTGTTTGTGAACATGACAACCTGTACCCCTGCAGAAGGTAAAATTTAGCATATAAATGCTGTCTCTTTAGCTCTCTCTCTCTCTTCCTCTAATATCACTGCTGTCCTGCTATACAAAAATGAAGATTGGATGCATGTTGGATTGGATGTGTGTGCGTATGAGAGGTGTGTGTGTGTGCGTGCCAGCATGTTCAGTCTGTTGCTTTCTGCTGTGCAGGACACAATCTCAGCACTGCATTGACTCTATAGGAAAATAAATCCCGCTTCAGCTCTAGAGCCTTCAAACACCATCCAAACAAACTCAACCACCCCAACAGCATGACACATCTGTTTGCCGTTTAAATGTCTTGACATCAGCTGGACTATTTGTCCTTTTAGTACTTATTTTATACTCTTAAAGGGACAATTCACAAAGAAATGAAGATTCTATCATTATTATTCTGCATTGTTATCTCATGCCACCCTGGAAGAAAAATTTTTACATTTTAAAGTTAAATGGTACACTTTGAGAGCAAAATTAAGAGCTCGTAGAGCTTCATTATTATTATTATTATTATTACAATTAAGGCAGTAATATATTACCATTGTAATTCAATTGCACTGTAAAATAAATGTAAATGAAAAATGAATATTTCTTGCAAGATTTAAACCCTTAGGCTTCTATTTTGGTGGAAAACTGCAGTTTCTGTGAAAACAGGTTTACAATTGCATCTCAACACATCTAGTAAGTTCATTCATTATTTTACTTTACAGTAGTAAAATTAGAGTACTTATGTCTTTCTTTCTTCACTTTCAGGAGTTAAACCCTCAGTATTTTATTTTTGGAAAAATGCTGTTCCCCTTTGAACTCGCGCTGTGTCCTCTAGCGGACACGATGGGGACTGCCGCCAGCAGGACCGGTGTCTGAAGCACGTGTGAAACAACTCCAATCCCACTGGCCCATGTAGCCCGTTGACGTCACTATTGGGCTATCCGGAAGTATAAGAGCGCACCTGCCGAATACGTCACCAACTTTAGTTGTCTTCAGGAGCCGTTTGTTTGACAGTGAGTGTGAAGGCATTGTGGAAAAAAACATAAAAGTTTGAGAGGGGTATGGACTTTTCAAAAGCTTCCGCTGGACGCTCGAGTGCTTGGCAGGATCCAGACACTCTTCCTCTTGGGTCATCTGATTCCGCGGATAGCACTACATTGGGCTAATCTGGTGAGAGTAAGGACATGGATGTGATTGGCGATGACAATGAAAGTGTGAGCACTGAATCCTCCCAACCTAGCTCCAGTCCCGCATACGGGGAAATGCTGGAGGTAATGGCGTGCGCTGCTAAGAAGCTTTATTTAGTCTAGTTACGTGAAAGGCAGAAGCTTTCCCGTGGCAGACTGGACAAGTGCTTTCTGGCCGGTCATGACTTCCCCTCCCCCCGGAGTCTCTCCTTTCTTCCTGACCTCCACACTGAGTTAGTGAGATCGTGGGACAGGCCATATTCGGCTCTGCTGCACCTTTTTAAGCATGCGGATTATGCTAATGTTGAGGGTGTGGCTGAGCCACGGATATGCGAAGATGCCCCCTGTAGAGGAGATGCTCTCGAGCTATCTCTCCCAGGGTGAGTCGTCTTCTTTAAAGACTCCTGCTCTGCCATCCAGACCACTTCAGACCACCTCGCATCTGAATAGCAAGGGCTTATGTGGTAGCAGGTCAAGCTGCTGGAGCCTTGCACACAGTGGCTGTGATCCAAGCTTACCAAGCTGACTTGCTTAGAGATCTAGATGAGGGCAAGGGTTTATCCCCTGAGGCAGTCGAGTAACTGCACCGCACCACAGACTTGGCCCTTCACACCACTAAACAGACTGCTGCTGCCATTGGGCTTGCAATGGCAGCAATGATGGCTACGGAGAGGCATTTGTGGTTAAATCTTGTAGACATCGGGAGAAAGGAGAAGGCCTTTCTTCTTGATGCTCCTCTTTTGCCTTTCAGGCTTTTCGGTACTTCCGTTGAGGCAGTGGTCGAGAAGTTCAGGGAGGGGAAGATGCAGTCCACTGCCTTCAGGAAGATCCTTCCCCGCCGTCCCAAGTCTTCCCTTAAAACCTCTGAGGAGGCTGGTCCGTCTCGATCTGAGGATCATAGATCAGAAGAGTAGAGTGGCCACTAGCACCTCTCCTCCCGCTAGGAGTCAGGCACAGAGGCTTGCAAGCACTAAGAGGAGGAGAGTGGATCTCAGGAAGGTATTGGATGAGAAGCATTCCTGTTCTAAACCGTGCTGTGATTCTAACACTTCTTGATGCTCCCCACCCCCCTTTGAGTGTTTTTAGACCACTGCTTACATCGGGCTCCAATACTGGACTAATGATGTTCTTATTTGTTTCCCTTGCTGGCGAACTATTGACTGAAGGTCTGGTCTCTCCCTTGTGACGTGGGCTTTTTTCAAGTATTCTCAGTGATTGGGCTGCCCACTCCCCAACCCCCCACCCCCCTTTCAGGGTTTTTCAAGTAGGCAGCCCAATGAGCCCTTTTTTAGCCATAAGATTTTGAGTCGATGGTCTACTTCCCTTTACACCTTAAGCTTAGTCAGGTAGTAGGGGTTGGCTGCCCCCCCTCCCTTCCTACGGGGTTTTTAAGTGGGCAGTCCACCTGGGCCCTGCTTGCTGCTTTAGCTCATTGAAATTTAGCCTTCTGAGGATAGCTGTGTTCTTAGCTTGGTTATTGGGATGTCCCTCCTGATTGGCTGGGTTCCCCATTTTTTCGTGTTATGTTAGTGGCCCTAGGTGTCAGTGGCTTGCCCCCTTTCTGAGGGAAGGTTCGCTGTATGTCTGTCGCTTCCCTTGGTGCTTTCTCACCAGGTGAACAGGCATGCGCCGTGGCATGGCTTAGTGGGCATTCCGTTACCCATAGTGTCCGCTAGAAGACGCAGCGCGAGTTCCATAGAAGGGGAATGTCTCGGGTTACACATGTAACCATTCTTCCCCGAGAAGGAATGAGATGCTGCGTCCCCTTGCCATGCCTAGTGCTTGCCTGTTTTCACGTCTCCTTCAGACAACTAAGTTTGTGATGTATTCGGCAGGCCTGCTTGTGATGTCACAGGCTACGTGGGCCAATGGGTTTGGAGTTGCTTCACACATGCTTCAGACACCGATCTTGCTGGTGGCAGTCCCCATAGTGTCCGCTAGAGGACGCAGTGTCTCGTTCCCTCTCGGGGACAGGTTTACAGGTTACAGGTTTACAAATACATCTCATAACAAATCTAGTGAAATGCTGTAATAATCTGTCCACAGATATGCAGAAATTATGCAAATCTAAAAATAAAGTGTAACTGTCGCATGTTGCATTCCCAAATGCAAGTTAAACTTGAACACAGTGCCACGCTTCATTCTGAGACAAGCCACACAACACTTATTTAATCGGAACAAAGCAATCGATCTACAGGTGTGAAAGCACCCTAAATCACTGGTGTTTATTTTGAGTGGCAGATGCTTTGCCAAAGAAATGGCGCAAAACAAAATGGTAGAGATCTTTTACATCATGAGAAGTGTAAAAATATTTTTGGATGAAATCTAGGCAATTACTGGGAAACAATGAAAAATAACAACATAGTTTAGAACAATTTAATGGAGAATAAATAATGACAGAATTTTCATTTTCGGGTGAACTGATCCTTTAACAATGCAACAGCCGAAGACATCCATATGTACTATACATAGACTAAAACGTGCAGGCATAACATAGTGTTGGAGTTTGTTTGTTTGCTGTGTGTTGGGACTTGATGTTTATATTGTTGGTCCCATAAGGACACTTATCTTGCTTAGGCTGCATGCTGCTTAGTACCAGCACTAGCACCCCTCAGTACTCAAACTCTTAGCGATCAATGTAAACAAGACCCCAGGGACAATTTCTAAGTACATGGCCTTTTCTGTTAATTACTAACCCACTTTATAAAAGTTTGCTTGCCTTGATGTGTATAATTGTTAATAATGAAAAAAAATTGCTTACTGTTATTTACAGTTGTTTTTTTGGATTAAAAGTGGTACTTTGAGTCTAAACATTTAGTTCAGGTAACAAAGGCCACAACACATTGCTAAGTTTTGGGAGTGATAAACAATCCAGTGTCTCATGCCTGTACAAAGGCATGAATGCCAACACAATTCGGTTGAGAATTCGATTGTAACTACCTGGATTTTTTTTTTTCTATAAACACATACCTGTGACATCATTACATCAGTATTACTGTTTGTGTGCATTTATTTTATGAAACTTTGACAGGTAAATGTAGTAACCGGCCATTTTATAAAAGCAGTCCTGTGAAGCCATAGTTTACAGTGATTTTAGAAAGCTAAAGGTATTTCAGTAACAGTCACATTTATCATTGCTTTGTGAAATTTCGTGGATGAAATCCAGTTATTCTAACAGGAATTTGCATGATCAGGAGTTTTGCGTGAGAGCGAAAATGTTCCCACTGTAAACCATGGCTACTTGGGCTTATAGTTTTAGTAAAATGTGGTTGTCATTCCCATAAATAACTAAATGGTGTATAGAACAGGGTTAAGAACTCAAAAGAGTAGTGACAACTGGATTTAATTGTAGCTTCAGTAAAATAACGTTGAGTTTAATTATGCTTTTGAATAGCTAATACATTTTTTAGTAAGATCCTTGCTTCATTTCTAAGTCAAAAAGTGCCTCTGGTTAATCATCTGAACACCTACCATGGCTTGTATGTTAAGTCTGCCTTGGCTGTAATTCCCAGTTTGACCTGCTGGTGGAGCTGTTCCAGGATGAGGAGAAAGCTACAAGTCCGACTGGTGCTGCTCCTGCTACTGGAGGACGCACTCGCCTCAGCGTCAAACCAGTCAAGAACAAAGCAGGCCAAGCCAGCAAGGAACACAAGAAGACAGTCGGACTGCAGGTGAAAGACTACCTTCATCTCATCTTATTTTCACTTTTATTGAATATCGTTATCTTTGAATAAGCACTGACAATCGATGAGAGTAAAAAGAGTCTAATTTGAATGAATGTTTACATTTCTCTCTTTCTGTAGTTCCGGAATTCTCTGCAGCTTCTGATGGAGACACTGAATGCGACTACACCACATTACGTTCGCTGCATTAAACCCAACGATTACAAATATGCCTTCACGTCAGTTCTTCTGTTTTTAATTGAACTATCTGTTTTGTTTTTTGTTTTGTTTTGTTTTTCTCTCGGAGGATACACATGCTCCTTTTGTTCACAACATGTTCACAACAACAGGGATTTGCCTGGAAGTCATTCATTTTCAGTGAGAGTTGGCGATATGAAATTCCAGCGACAGTGACCATTGGTGACACAATATGCTAGATCTTTCAGCAACATGACAGATTGAGCTTTATGCAAATTAGCAATTCGAGTTACCTGTGATAAGTGCATAAGTGCATTTTAACAGCGTAATAGAATGACAATTAGAATGACAAAATCTTATTTTTAACAGCAATATACTATCTGTGATCAGATAATGTAGCCCTGCTAGTGATCAACAGCAGAATCACTTAACTACATCACCATGTTACACATTTGAAGTCGTGGCCTAATGGTTAGAGAGTCGGACTCGGGTGTGTGTTCACTGCTGTGTGTGTGCACTAAGGATGGGTTAAATGCAGAGCACTAATTCCTAGTATGGGTAACCATACTTGGCCACATGTCACGTCACTTTCACTTTCACATTTGCATAATGTCCGCCTACTTGCTGCTTAGGCCCACCTTCAAAGAATAGTTGGGTCAGTGATTTTGCTATGTCAAGGAGACGTAGCAAAAAAAAAAAAAAACCTTATATGAACTTCTAATACCGACTCTATTACAGACGCAGTTAACAGACTGGGCCAGCTGACCAATCACAGCACACTGGCTTTTCAGAAAGGCGGGCTTTAAAGAAATAGGAACTTAAACAGAGCGTTTCAGGCAGAGGGCAAAATGAGGTGCTGCAGCTATGTAAATTATGAGAAAAATATAGTGTTTTTTGAATTTTACATCATGTAAAGGTCTTCTAGCAGACCCCAAAATATGAGTACTTTAATAGACAATTTTAAGCATGCACCAGCATAAGCAGTACTTCAAATGAAGCGCACGAAAAAAAAACTTGATTCATTCTCACAGTTGAATCTAACATCAGCATGTCGCTTAGCTAATAATCATAAAAATATGTAGCACATCCATTACAGAAACAATTTTACCCAATAAAAATAAAAATAGATTTCTATCAACTCCATCTGGCATTTACAGGACAATTATTTTACATATAAAGCTGTAAAGTGAGTAATTAAAGCTGTAGTGAGTAATTTCTGTGACACTTGCACCACTAGCAGTAGTATTGTTCATTAATTATTTTAGTACTTAGGTTAGTATTAGTATTTTGATTATTTTCTTTCAAGTAATGATTTAAAAAAAAAAAATTTGTTTTAATTAATGAGAGGAACCTTGGTAAATATATTGTGCTAGAATGTAGCAAACGAGTACAGTTGATGCGCCCCATACACACACCATTGGTTGAGTCATGGTGGAACGCTCGAAAGAGCAATATGACAGCTCCAAAGTGTCCAGTTCTCTTCACAAATTGAATCTGGTAATTTCATACTTTCAGTTGTCTCTGTTGTCATACTTTCAGTTGTCATAGTTGACTCTGTTTTGAACTATTTTATAACAGTAAATTTAGCAGAATTGATGGTGAGCTATAGAAACGCAGTGTTGCTAGGCTGATATCTGATTTCTGTCATTACCAGGTTTGACCCCAAGAGGGCAGTTCAGCAACTGCGTGCATGTGGAGTTTTGGAAACAATTCGCATCTCTGCAGCTGGTTTCCCATCTAGGTACTGTGAAGATCTATACCAGGGGTGCCCAAACTCGGTCCTGGAGGGCCGATGTCCTGCAGAGTTTAGCTCCAACCTGCCTCAACACACCTGCCTGGAGGTTTCTAGTATGCCTAGTAAGAGCTTGATTAGCTGGTTCAGGTGTGTCTAATTGGGGATGGATCTAAACTCTGCAGGACACCGGCCCTCCAGGACCGAGTTTGGGCACCCCTGATCTATACATTACCATACTGCACTCCCTTTTGTCAAACACCTCCTGACTGTATATTTGTGTTTTTGTGACTGTTTTTGTGACTGCTTTTGCTTGTCAGGTGGACGTATCAGGAGTTCTTTAGCAGGTATCGTGTCCTGATGAAACAAAAAGATGTTTTGACAGACAGGAAGATGACCTGTAAGAATGTTCTGGAGAAACTGGTGCAGGTACAAGAAGCCAATTCAGTCTCCTCATAAAACTACCGATACTCTGTATAGACTTGGTGCAAAGGCCATAATATAATAGGCTCTTAAAACTAAAACTACTCAGAATCATAGCAAGCAGCAAAATGCCAGAATTTGGCACTACTCATATTTTCTGTACAAAGTTTGACTGATAAATAATGATAAATTAATTCTTTCTCCACTTTTTTTGTCCTCCTAATAGGACCCAGATAAGTACCAGTTTGGCAAGACCAAGATCTTTTTCCGCGCAGGGCAGGTTGCGTATCTGGAGAAACTGCGTGCAGATAAGCTGCGTGCTGCCTGCATCCGCATACAGAAGACCATACGCTGCTGGCTGGCGCGCAAGAAGTACCTGCGCATGAAACATGCTGCCACAACCATCCAGAGATACGTCCGTGGATACCAGGCCCGCTGGTGAGGGGGAGGGGACTAATCCCATAGTGGGTGGGGCCTGACTAAAGTTATGAAAAACAGAATCATTCAACATAAGAGCAACAGTGAGCAACAGCCCACTTTTTTTTTCCACAGAGATGTTTTTTTCCATTCATTTTTTTTATAGAGATTTACAAAAAGTCTTTTAAATGTCAAAAATCAAACCAAACAGCTACAAAGTGAATCAAAACATTATTAACTTTTTTTAAGGATTTTAAACAAAAAAGTATTTGAAAATCGGACAAAAAGACAAAAGGTACAATACTGTGTACCTAATGGCTTTAATGAGGGAAAGAACTACTATCGCATTAATCATTCCAAATGGCAATCAAATAAAAAAGTAATGTCGTTATTATAAATATAAAACTAATTGATTTAAAGGTGTTGATTATGTAAATGCAAAATATGCATATATATATACAAATATTAAGAGCATAGGGAAACTGACTCAACTACATCATTTGTGGCGATTCATTGGAGCAAGTGTTCGCTTCAGAGATCATTTGGTGCGATTTGCTCGCCACATCTCTCTAAATGGTGGAATTTGCTTTGCAGAATCATCGGTAATGTAGTTTTTCACCAGGAGTTACACTGTTAGACATGATTCTTTGAAAAACAAGTTGAAATAATGTGAACTGATGGCTTCAGCAAAAGCATATGCTATCAGTTAACAAACCCAGAGCTCACAGTATATCTGCCTTTTAAGGGTTGAAAATCAATTTCCCTGCTGAGAAAATAAAAGGGATTTTTATTTCCGGAACCCAGCTCTTGCACTTTATACTGTTTTTAAGTGAGAAGGTGCTGGTGCACAAGTAGTAACCTCTGTGTTGTTCTTCATTCCCCACAGTCTTGCGAATTTCCTGCGACGCACACGTGCTGCGATCGTCATTCAGAAGTACCAGCGCATGTATGTCCAGAAAACGTGTTACAAACGCAAGCAGGCTGCCGCTCTGGCCATGCAATGCATCCTCAGGGCATACATGGCCAGACAGCTGTACAAAGCGGTGAGGAGGAAACCAGACATACTAATACACTCTTCTCACATTATAAATATATTTGTCCCAGTCACAAACACACGACTCACAAACACTACTGGTCTCATTACTGCCTTTTTACATGCATCTTTTTTCCAATTTAGTTCTGTTATGACCTTAACATCTAAACAAACACACTGACACAGGTTATAAATTGATATACATCGGGGTAAAATATGATGCTGGTTTATAATTAACACACTGGAAACAAGTGAATTATTTCAGGCATGAGACACATGAGTAGTGAAAGCTGCTAACTGCACACTGAAGTCAGAGTGGTTTAAAGGCAGTGTTTCTAAGTGACTGATTTTAATTTACACTACCGTTCAATAGTTTGGGGTTAACAAGTATTTTTAAAAAGAAGTTAAGAATTTCATTCAGCAAGGATGCATTCAATTGTTTAAAAGTGACAGTAAAGACTTTTACATTGTTGCAAAAGTTGTATTTCTAACAGATGAATAATTATAAATAAATCTAGATTTATCCGATTAAGCAACTACTATAAAACATTAATGTGAAATATCAATAATATGATAAAATAAAAATAAAATATAGAGTGACTATTTATCTTTAAAAAGAACAGCGATAAACATGATTTGTGCCGACCACAATGTGTTTTTAAATGTTGATTTTTAAAAAATTATTATTAATTATTGGCTGCCAAAAGTATAAAACCACTGAAATTTAATTTGATGTGTTTGAACACTCTAGACTATTGGCATGCGAAGAGAATCTGCCATTAGATAGTACTAAGTAAACCACGAAAGTAGCAATTCTGTCTCATTCTGAGGTCTTTCCTTCAGATTCTTTCTACTCCAACCAGTGACTAGCAAGCTAGTGAAATACTAGAATGGAGTTTTTAAAGTCTCGGGAAGAAGATAACACAGTGTTGCGATGACCTCATGTCTCCTTCCCAGTGTGTTTAGCCATGTGATCTCACAGGGAGCAGGTTGTTCCAGTGTAGGGACTGTCCCACTGACGGACCACAGCAGCTGCGGCTGTATTATTACTCTTACTGTCTCTTTCTCCTCTCTTTCCTTGCCGTCCGAGCTCTGTTGATCAGCAGTGGATTATCGAGGCAGGATGTGTAATATCTGCAAATTAAAAAGGCAGAAGGTGTGAGAGAAAAAAGCGATTTGAGAACATTTCACTGCGCTTTCACTGGACTCATCTCTACTTTGCATTACATTCTTCTTAACTCTTGTGTGTATTTGTGTTTTTCATCGTGTGTTATTGTGTGTTTGCTTAGCTTCTGCGTGAGCACAAGGCCATCATCATTCAGAAGATGATCCGTGGCTGGTTGGCCCGGCAGTGGTACAAGCGGACACTCGAAGCCATCGTTTACCTGCAGTGCTGCATCCGCCGCATGCGAGCCAAGCGAGAACTCAAGAAACTCAAGATCGAGGCACGTTCGGTGGAACACTTCAAGAAACTCAACATTGGCATGGAGAACAAGATCATGCAACTGCAGCGCAGGATAGATGACCAGGTACCACACTTCACACTAAGATGCTTTGGCTTATTCTGCCTCATTAAAAAGCTTAGAATGAAATCATAATTGTCCTTTCTGGTCTTCTTGTGCACAATTCATCAGTGCATGTTATTCTTAAAAATTTTTTTTATTTGTTATCGTAAATAAAATGTGATAGCTTGCTCTGCCCATGAAATTACATTTATATTCGGCTGATGCCATCTTACTTTTCATCTTCCTTCCATCCGGCCAGCTGCTATATAGATGCTACTTTTCACAATCAAATCCCACCTTATTTTATTTCATTGAATATATGCCAAGTTCTGTCATGAAACCCTAGATGGCGCAGAACATCTGAACAGCATGCAAACTGATGATATTTACTAGTTGGCACAAGTTGATTATTTCATGTTGCATATGCAGCCAATTAGCTTGCAGCTTTACATTTAAATTGCTGGTTAACATTCACTAGAGCATTTTGCAGCGTGACTTCAGAGTTCCTCTGAAACCCTCCACCTTCCCCAGCTCCACCTTATCGATCTGCTACGGGTTATTTTATATGCTATTTGTGCAGCAGCGGTATGTCTTAAATACGCACAGCACCGTATCGGCGTATGTATTGGCAGTTGCAAGTTCCTGTACTTGCTTTGCAGCACCAGCAGCAATAATCTACAACAACAGCAATAACCAACAGCAGCGTAGCAGATCTATTCCGCCAAGACCAAATACATTAACATTGTCATATCCATTACCATGCTAAAATCTTCTGAGAGTTGTCATGGTAGAACTTTATTTAATCAAAAAGACATCAGGTTATGGAAGAGAAACAGGTTGCAAGCACCCTTTCTTGTTGAGATGTCAGTGTTAACTTGTATTAATTTCTTTAGAATAAGTCAGAGTCTGTTAGCTGGGCATGATCACATCATCTAGATCTGGGCTTCCCTGTGCAGAATCTTTGTTTAAGTGTGTATATATATGTATCTGACAGTGTAATGCATGATTGTAATGATTAGAGAATTAGAGTTCACACTCAAAAAGAGAAAAAAAAGTAAAATTTTATTCAGATGCCAAACTGAGCAGATTTGGTACAGAAGTTTTTATGTATATGCCAAAAAGTATGATGGCTGATAGCTTGTAATTTTAATCAATGGGATTTTTTATAACAGTATAGCAGACTACGTATATTAAATGCATGTGAACATCAGTTGGAAGTATGTATTTTTCAATAATATGCCTCAGTAAGATATGTATTATATTATGATGATATTATTTATGATATTTGCTTTAGTTTTTTGAACAGAGCTCTGTAGTTTTAGTTGTGGGGGCAAAACATATAATGAAACGCAATACAGTGATGATTGAGAGATGTACAAATAAATGTTACACAAAAGCCTGTTATATAATATTGATACATTTAAACATGATTTCTTATGGATAATCAAGTAAACCTGAGTTGCTCTAGTTTAGAAAATGTTCATCTTGAAATATTACTAAAAATATGAAAGTTATTCTTATGTTTACTTCATTAAAATCATTAAAAATTGCACAGCAAAAAGACATGTACCATGACCTGAAGGTGGAATATACTAAAAGGACTTATCAGTTGAATTATCAATTAGAGTGCAGAGAGTATGTCTTTCAGCAAAGTTTTGATCATGTTGATAATTTATAGGCCTTATAAATTCATGTATCAAATATGATACCTTAGGCTTTATAGGGTTAAGTACAATTAATTGATGTTCTGTTTTGGTTTCACTCTAGAACAAGGAGAACCGTTCTCTCAGCGAGCGTTTGAACAGTCTAGAGATCAGCCATGCAGCGGAGTCCGAGCGTCTGCGTGTGGAATTGACGCGTCTGCGAGGGGCAGAAGAGGACGCCAAAAACAACGCCAACAAAGTTACATCTCTTCTGGAGGAGCTGGAGCGACTCCGCAAAGACCTGCAGAACACACAGAAGGAGAAGAAAGCCATCGAGGACTGGGCACAAACCTACCAGGACGAGATGGAAAAGGTGCTGTTAGTTCAGATATGTAGTTGGGTGCTGCTGTCTGTGATGTGCCTGCAGTGGTGCAGACTTCACAAAGCACTTTACAAAAATCTGAGGGCGATTCGCTAATCAGTTTGTTTGTGTCATTTGAAAAAAACTCTGATTCATTTATGCATTAAGTCATCACCCAGTTATGTTCCTAAGAAGGCAATTAATTTGGACAGCGAACTGATTCACAAAACTCATTCATCTCCCGGTGGTGTTCCTTTAAAGAGGGTTCATTTGAATGGGTCATTTCAGTGAACTGATTCATAAAACTGATTCATTACTCATTCGTGTTCAGTTGATCAGTACATTTGGATGGCTTATGTCAACTGAGTCAAAATAGGGATTAATTAAATGTTCCACACTACATTTATGGTTCCAGTGTCCTAAAGTTCTCCCATACTAATTTGCTAAATCTTTGCAAATTAGTTTAACAGAATAATTACTAAGAACCAGTTAAAAATGTCTTAATTTCCAAATTATTAGTGCATGACTCGTATATAAATGAATCATTTATATACACTAGGTGTGTGCTGAAGTGTGTGTTGAGTGTTCATACAAAACCTCATTGATGGTGTGGCATTACGTTAGCAAATTCCAGCTCCACAGCAGATCCCCCCATGGCTAGGAACTATACTCTCATGGAAAAATATAGAAACTCTTTGGTCATTTTTGAGCGAGATGCTAACGGTCTAATCGGATTCAATGATCTATGCTAAGCTACAGCTAAAAGTGCTACCGCCAGACCCGAAGATCGGCTGAATGGATTCGAAAATGGTAAAACTCAACTGTTTAACTCTAGGGGAGTTGGAAAATGAGCCTATTTTCAAAAATAGTGACATGTTCCTTTAAGTTAGACCCATAGGTTACCTTCACTCCCCTGCTTTTAGACAGTCCTCCTAGATTGTAAAGCCCTCTAAGGACACAGATATACTCTGTGTCTCCATATTCAGGGATTAGAGAGACCTGCACACTGCTTTAAACGTGGGAAAAGAAGAGATCTGTTCATTCATACATACAGGTGAGAGGGATAGAGACTAGAGCTCAGCACAAATGTTAGAAGTAGTAGTTTTAGGGTGGTAGAAGACTAGAACGATTTGCAAAGCCACAATAAACACAGTACTGGGTGTGTGTTGAGTAAATGAATATTTCTCAGCAGTTAAAACAGTGTTCCTGGTTCAGTACAAGCATCCGTGACGTAAATGTTTCTTTTTAATGTAGGCTAACTTTAAATTTAAAGACTAAGATGTCAAGCTGATTGTGTTTGTGTAATGTTTGTAACAGATGATCTCAGAACTAAAGGAGCAAAACCACCTGCTGAAGAATGAGAAAAACGACCTGAACCGACTGATCCAGGAACAGAGCCAGCAGTGGACAGGTAAAGCAAAACTGTGCAACTATAATCTGTCACTCTATTAGGGTTAGGCAATGTAGGCCACATTTTTGTTTTTTTTGCCTTTTACCTTTAACAACCTTAGTTATGACTGTCATTTGTTTTTTGTTTTTTGGAAGAATATTTAATTATTCATCATTTAAATGCACCAATATTGCAATGTATAATAATAAACAGCAAATTAAATATGAAAATGTATACTAAAACAGTTTCAAGCGTTTAAAATGAAACTTGAGAAAACACTGAACATTTTTGATTCATGTTGCAAATTAATTGTTCAAACTAACAATTAAATCTCTGTGGAAATGAATCATTATTGTGCCAAATTGAGGTTTAAGTCAAAGTCAACTTAATTGTCATTTTTATCACATCGCATTACTACTACTACTACAGTGGGGGAAATATTTATTTGATCCCCTGCTGATTTTGTAAGTTTGCCCACTTACAAAGAAATGAAGGGTCTGTAATTTTTATGGTAGGTTTATTTTAACGTATAGAGACAGAATACCAACCAAAACATCCAGAAAAAACAACATTATATAAAGGTTAGAAATTGATTTGCATTTCAGTGAGTGAAGT